CAGGACTTCTACAGAGCCCCTCGTGGCAAATTAAATTTGTGCTCCCTAGAGCAGGGCTACTCAATTTTGGAAGCTCTGGGGGCCACAATGATGCTCACAGCACATGCCGAGGGCTGCAATTTAAGCGTGGTTGCATATACATGCACTGGGCTCAACAAACCGCTGTTTCTACTCGCTCATGGTGAGTAGATTTCAGCCAGTTGCTCCGTGCATCCCATTCACTGGCGCTGCGCGCACGTGTGGGGCTGTCGAGTAGCTCTTGCCGCAGTTTGTCGAGCCCTGTACATGCAAATATAGATGCACACTGATGGGCTGAGTAAAAAGCACTTCCCACAATGCCCTGGTGCTCCCTGGCACCTCTTCCCTGGGGGCTAGAAATGCCATCACCCTGTACCTGTCTGTTCCAGCCAGTCCATCTACTTGCGTCTTTCAATGCTCACCCCGCCTGGCAGAACACCTCGCCATTTTCAAAGGACCCCACCTGCAGGCTGCATGTTGAGCCCCGCGTAAACCCAAACCACACCATGGGCCACAAACAAAAGGGCCGCAGGCCGCATGTGACCTATGGGCCACATGTTGAGTAGCCCTGCCCTAGAGTACAGTACTGGGAGAAAGAGCTCAAGTTTACATATCTGGAAAAAACAACAACAACTTACAGTTTAGATTAATATCGCCATATGGCAATGGTAGTAATGGAGAGTGCAGTGGATGATGCGTGTAACGGAGAATAGGGTTTCTCTTATAAATCTGTTCGACAACATCTGAGTTCAGGCAGTTCTCCTGGTAGGTTAAAAAAAAGCATAATTCCTTGTTCAGTGTGATAATCCAGTAATGGCAAAACAATTATTCAATGCAGTATCATGTCAAAAAGGGTATGTCTACACTACCCTGCTAGTTCGAACTAGCGGGGTAATGTAGGCATACCACACTTGCAAATGAAGCCCGGGATTTGAATTTCCCGGGCTTCATTTGCATAAGCGGGGAGCCGTTAAAAAAAAGCATAATTCCTTGTTCAGTGTGATAATCCAGTAATGGCAAAACAATTATTCAATGCAGTATCATGTCAAAAAGGGTATGTCTACACTACCCTGCTAGTTCGAACTAGCGGGGTAATGTAGGCATACCACACTTGCAAATGAAGCCCGGGATTTGAATTTCCCGGGCTTCATTTGCATAAGCGGGGAGCCGCCATTTTTAAATGCCGGCTCGTTTGAACCCCGTGTCTTGTTCTGTCCTCGTTCCACGAGGCGTACAAATAGTTCGAAATGGCTTGCTAGTTCGAACTATCTAGCCCGTGCCGCGTGTAGTCGCGCAAAAATGGCGGCTCCCTGCTTATGCAAATGAAGCCCGGGAAATTCAAATCCCGGGCTTCATTTGCAAGTGCGGTATGCCTACATTACCCTCCTAATTCTAACTAGCGGGGTAGTGTAGACATACCCAAAGTCTGTAAGTAAAACTACTTGTTGCTCATATTGAGTTGTTTAAGATACAGCAATAAAAACTGAAATGTAAAATTATTTCTTCAAGTGCTCAGTCATCATTTCAGAATGATAGAGAAGTGCCAGCCATTTTTCCCCACAGTGAAGATGTATGAAGTTGTATCATGGCACAGTGGCATTCTCATCTTGTTTTGATGCCCAAAGAAGCATATGCTATTTGTGACTCTCCTAAATCCTATGCACTTCATAGTCCTGCCTATTTCCCTATTTAAATAATGCATGGCAAGATGTTTGCAGAGAGTGATAGACAAGATCAAGCAGCTATTCTCAAAAACACACCACTTTAAGTTAGAGATATGAACGTGTAACCGTGCACATGGTTAACTGCTGAGCCTGGGCTTATCGGTTAACATTCATGGTTACACGCAGACTCTTGGTATGTGCAGTGCGCATTGGATCCCAGGAAGCCACCTGCTGTCCCACACATAACCGCTGAAATTTTCAGCAGTTACAAGGTTACTTAAGTACATACATTTTAATATCTCTACTATAAGTAATGATCGTGAGAAGTGCTTGGTATTCCCAATTCCTATTGATATTGAAGGGAATTATAGGTGCTCAGCAATTTCTAAGATGAGGCCCAGAATGAACCATACTTTAATGTCCGTGTTACACAAAGAACTGTGCAGAAGATGGAAAATCCATTTTGAGAAGAATTTTAAGGTTTCAAAATTTATTTTCATTTCCCATTGGTATGAAAACAAATTTTAATTTTTTTTTTCAAAATGGAATTATGTTTAAAACGTGTTTTCTAATAAAAAAGATCAGATTTTCAGGTTTTCTCTTTCTTTGGTCAAGAGTAGTCGGACAGCCCTAGACTTTAAAAACCTGCAAAATCCTGCAGTTTTTAGCTTTTCTGAAGATCCCCCACTTCATCCCCTGAAATGAGACCAACAGAGATCCGCAGGGAGAGATGGTGAGAGCCCATGCATGTGCCCCTCTAATGGGATCAAAAAGTGCATAATACTGCCTAAAGCTACATTAAGCAGTGCGGGGCTTGTTACAGTCTGGCACTCATGATCAAATGGAGGAGCTCTTGGTTCCCCACTGTGATCTGTTCCTGAAGTACTTTTCAGATAAGATCGCTCGCATTCTGTCTGATTTGGACTCTGGCTGCTATGTAAGTGGGGCACAAAATGTGTTGAGCGCAACACCCAGTCGCTTTTCTTTGGAACAGTTTCAGCTACTGCAGACTGAGGATGTGGACAAGGTGCTTAGAGGAGTGTGACCGACCACATGCTTGCTCAACCCCTGCCCTTCATGTCTTATTAAATCTAGCCGGGAAGGGATGACTGACAATGTCCACGGGATTATTAATGCGTCTTTTAGATCTGGTATGGTTCCTACCACCTTGAAAGAGGCAGTGATAAAACAGTTACTCAAGAAGCCTTCCCTGGACCCACATGATTTAAATAACTATCACCCAGTTGCTAATATTCCCTTCTTGGGCAAGGTACTCAAGTGAGCAGTGGCATTGCAACTCCAAGCTTTCTTGGAAGAAACAGATTATTTAGATCCATTTCAGTCTGGTTTTAGGCTGGGTTTTGGAATTGAAACCACCTTGGTCACCCTGGTAGATGACCTACGCTGGGAGATAGATGGGGGAGTGCATCCCTGTTGATTATCTTGGACCTCTCAGCAGCTTTTGATACCCTGCAACCATGGTATCCTTCTGGAACGCAAGGGGGCTGCTATTTGACCCCATGGCAATATGGAGTCCTGCAAGGTTCCAGCTTGTCCCCTATGCTGTTTAACATCTACAAGAAGCCACTGGGAGAAGTCATAAGGAGTTCTAGAGGACAGTGTCATCAATATGCAAATAACACGCAACTCTATTTCTCTGAGACATCAAAACCAGGTGTGGCGGTGACTGATCTAAATCGGTGTCTGGAGGCGGTGATGGTTTGGATGAAGTCAAACAAATTGAAGTTGAACCCAGATAAGACTGAGGTTCTGTGCATCAGGAGGCCATCTGTTTGGGAATGTGGCGTGGTACCTGTTCTAGACGGGGTTACTCTCCCCCTGAAAGAACAGGTACGCAGCTTGAGAGTCCTCCTTGACCCGTTTTTAACAGTTAAGAAACAGATTTCTTCGGTGGCCAGGAGTGCTTTTGAGCAACTTCGTCTGATCTGCCAGCTGCGATCCTTCCTGAACAAGCATGACTTGGCCACAGTGATCCATGCTCTTGTTACATCCAGACTGGATTACTTTAATGCGCTTTATGTGGGGCTGCCTCTAAAAAGCCTTCGGAAACTTCAACTGGTCCAGAATGCGGAGGCTCGAGTTTTGACTAATACCCGTTATATGGGACACCTTATTGCCAGTGCTCTGGCAGCTGCACTGGCTTCTGGTATGTTTCCGGGCACAATTTAAAGTTTTGGTTATAACATATAAAGCCCTAAACGGGTTGGGTATCTGAAGGACCATCTTCTCCCATGTGAACCTGCCCGGGGATTGAGGTCAGCTGGGGAGGCTCTGCTCAGTGTTCCCCCACTTGTGGAGATAAGATTAACATCAACACGGAACAGGGCCTTCTCAGCTTTTGCTCCCAGGCTGTGAAATTCTCTTCCTCGGGTTATTGCATGGCACCAACGCTAGCATTGTTTCAGTGTCAGGCTAAAACTGTCCTTTTTATTCATGCTTTTATTGGTGTTGGAATCTGTATATGTATGTTCTTCTCTATATTTTTTAGCAGGTTTTATGTCCCTCTGGATCTCGTATTTTACATTTTATATATATTTGTATTGTATTTCAACATTTTTGTAAGCTGCCTTGAATATTTTAAATAGAGAGGCAAGGTAAAAATAAATAAATAAATAAATGAAGTTACAAAATTAACAAGACAAAAATTATACTGATTTCCAAGGGAAACAAACATAGTTGGTAGGTTTTCCCTGACTCATTCCCTTCCAAAGGTTATATCCCATGTTTTTGTTCTTGTGAGAGGAGAGATTTCTCTGGAAGCTGGATGGTGTACATACGTGTGAGAGTATTAATATCAAGCATCTAATTGTTTAGAAAATTGGCCAGTAGACTTTTATTACGCTTTGTACCACATAACACAGGGAACATAAAGGGCTCAGACTCCAAATGCATATGTTGTCATCCCCCTTCAGAAACTTATTGTTACCTTAATATCTTGAATAAGCTGCTGAGTTGGTGTATCAATTGGTGCTTTTGTGTCAGTCACATTCTGGATGGCACTTGACCAGCGGGTGGCCTCATTGAGTAGTTTTGTATAGAGACGGTAGCAGTGCTTGCGCCCATACACAGTTACATTCCAGAAGCCTATAACAATAGAAAAGATTAATTATCACAAGATATATTGTGGATGAGCTTATTCTAATGTAAGAATAGAGGTCAATATTCTACTAACATGTAAACTGCATGTTAGGCACAGCTAAACGGATTTACAGTTTTTATAGAATGAGTGGCATGTGTGTTAATGATCCACATTTATATAAAATTGTAGGCTATTAAAGGATTTTTTCTGTAAGACAATGTTGTCCCAGTATCTTCTTGTACAGCTACGGTGAGACAAGCCTGTCTTTACAACGTGGCCTGTGGTTCCTTTCAGCCTTACCAAGAAGATGAGGCCTGAGAAGACTGCGCATGTGTGGATCAGGGTGGAGTGTTGCATGCTGGCACTGGTAGTCTCAGAGGCTTGAATCTGACTGGCAATTTCTCTGAAACCCAAACTCTAAGTAGTCTAAAACAGAGCAAACTACAGTCATCCATGTTTCTGTTAGGGAGGCACAAGGCTCTGAGACTACCAGTGCCAGAATGCATCACTCCATCCTGATCCATACATGCACAATCTCTTCAGGCCTCATTGACTTGGTAACGCTGAAAGTGTCCACAAGCCACATTGTAAAGATAGGCTTGTCTCATCATAGCTGTACAAGAAGATACTGGGACAACACTGTCTTACAGAGAAAAATTCTTTACTAGCCTGCATTTGTATATAAATGTGGATCATTAACACACATGTTACTCATTCTGTAAGACCAAAATGTATTCTCATCTGTTCAGTTTTCTAACAATATAAAAATGCACTGCTGATTCACTCCCAATGGAAAGCAGGATATCTTTAGACATTATCTTCCTTATATCCCAATATAGGATTTTTATGACAAAGGAGAGCCTGAAGAAAGCTTATTTACTCTTTGGGTGGCAAAAAAAAGTTTGTAGGTCAAGGGCACAAAGTGAAGATTGCATTAAAGAGTTCAAATATGAAAAGGGGGCCTCTTGCTTGAAAATGGCTGACTCCCAGCTGAAAACCAGTTTAGAAAATGCCATTGATCAAATTCAGGAGTGACATGGAAGGTGGTGTAAATTCGACTCTGTTACTGTAGATCTATTTAGACACAAACACTGATAGAGTCTAAGCTGCTCTAATATACATGCTGAGAAGCTAGAAAAAAGTTAGAAAATAGGATGAAGGCTGCCTTAATGTATACCTTTTTCCAAATCGTTTACATATAAACTACCATACATAAAGTTAGCAGTATTAGGAATTTTAGAAAGAATGAATTATACCTTGCACATCACCTCTGCAGTTTTGCCAAATGAGTTTAGATGACAAAATTCTATAAGTACCACCTCAGGGATTTAAAAGCCAAAATTCCTCTGACCTTCTGTTTACCCATATGCATTAGTGGAACCCAAATAGTGGATCTTAATTATTTTCCTATAACACTTGTTATATTTCCAGGTAGGCTGGAATGCAACTCAGAGCACCCAAAAACTTAATGTTTACAAACAAATTACCTGTCTCTTTAAAGATTTTCTCATCAGGCAGTACCACAGAGCAGAGACTATTCAGGACTAGGGTACCCAATTTCAGGGCATTCTTCTCTGAGCTCTTGTAGTAATCCAAAGAATTGTGTGTTAAGACAAACCAGCGCTTCTTTAGCTTTAACGAAGACATCTTTGGGCTGTTTTTCACTTCTTTGTGTAACCATCCTGTTAAACAGATACCCCTTGAATTAAAGCTTTTCGTCAAAGTAGGCAAAGCTGTGCTTACCTGTTGGCAGCATGATTAATACAATTTACAAAACGTATCATTAAGTATTGATTGCCAAATCCTCTTAAGTAACTTTTGTTTAAGTTAAGTGTCAAATTAACTGTCAAGCAAAGGAGAGGTTGAAATATAGATTGAACCTTTCCATTCCAGCACTCTCTGATGTGGCAACATTTCAGCTTAGAAAAGAGGAGACTACGGGCGGATATGATAGAGATATATAAAAATGGTGTGGAGAGAGTGAATACGGAAAAGTTATTTACTTGTTCCCATAATATAAGAACTAGAGGCCACCAAATGAAATTAGTGGGCAGTAGGTTTAAAACTAATAAAAGGAAGTTCTTCACACAGCTCACAGTCAACCTGTGGAAATTCTTGCCTGAGGAAGTTGTGACGGCTAGGACAACAACAGGATTTAAAAGAGAACTAGATAAATTCATGGAGGTTAAGTCCATTAATGGCTATTAGCCAGGATGGGTAAGGAATGGTGTCCCTAGCCTCTGTTTGTCAGAGAGTGGAGATGGATGGCAGGAGAGAGATCACTTGATCATTGACCTGTTTGGTTCACTCCTGCTGGAGCACCTGGCATTGGCCACTGTTGGCATATAAGATACTAGGCTGGGTGGATCTTTGGTCTGACCCAGTATGGCCATTCTTATGTTCTTATAGTCTGGCATGATTTTAATTAGCCGGATTGCTACTTATCATGCATGGGTGGGGCCAAGTTTCCCATGGTTCCATAAAATTTGTTTAGAGCCACCAGTCCTGTACTGTGCTGTTATTTAGCTCTAATTTACCCGTAAATGTCTTCTAAGAACCCAGTAAGTAGTGGAAGTATTGGTAACGCTGCTAGACAATATTGACTTCCTGTGGTTCGGCAAATTCTTTGGTTCGGCAACAGTCAGGTTCCAAGGATTCCAGACAAGAGAAGCTCAACCTGTACTACATCTTATCTATACTGGGACTGCTCAGTCTTTAATGGCATGAACCACATTTTATTAAAAGGACTCTGGGATCCTCATCCATTCACAATCACAAAATACCCGTGTGGAAGCTAGATCAACTGTTTACATGGACAAAATGATGCTAAGAAAATCTGAATGTGTTTTTTGTAGTATCCCTTGAATTTGCAAAAAAAATAAATCCAGAAGCATGCAACTAGAGAGCTCTCTGCAAACCACCAGCAAGAGTTCCACAGACCACATTTTGGGAACCACTTATCAATACAATTCAACAGTTTGCTATCCCATTAATTCTTACCCCTTATTATGAATTCTTGACCCTCCACTCTGGTATCTCCCTTTGATCTCTGCAGCAGTGTTATCCAGTGATGCATCTCTTCAGGGGTATCAGCATTACAGTGGAGAACACGATTAGCGGTGATGATCACAAATAAATTGGGTCTATGGAAAAAACGAAGGTTGAAAAGTAAATATACCTACTGTTTGCACCATAGATAAATGGATGAGAAACTGGATATGAGTGAACAGTGTGCCCTCGTAGCCAAGAAGGCTAATGGCATATTAGGGTGCATCAGGAGGAGCATTGCCAGCAGATCCAGGGAAGTGATTATTCCCCTTTAATTGGCACTGGTGAGGTCATTTCTGGAGTATTGCATCCAATTTTGGTCCCCTCACTATAGAAAAGATGTGGATGCATTGGAGAGGGTCCAGCAGAGGGCAGCTAAAATGATTAGGGGGCTGGAGCACATGACCTACGAGAAGAGGCTGAGGGATTTGGGCTTATTTAGTCTGCAGAAGAGAAGAGAGAGGGGGGATTTGATTGCTGCCTTCAACTTCCTGAAGGGAGGTTCCATAGATGATGGAGAGAGGCTGTTATTAGTAGTGACAGATGGCAGAACAAGAAGCAATGGTTTCAAATTACAGTGGTAGAGGCCTAGGTTGGATATTAGGAAAAATTATTTCACTAGGAGGGTGGTGAAGCACTGGAATGGGTTACCTAGGGAGGTGGTGGAATCTCCATCCCTAGAGGTTTTTAAGTCCCAACATGACAAAGCCCTGGCTGGGATGATTTAGTTGGGGTTGGTTCTGCCTTGGGCAGGGGGCTGGACTGGATGACCTCCTGAGGTCTCTTCCAGCCCTAGAATTCTGTGATTCTATGATTAAATGACTGACTTACCTTACTTGCCCTAAGCACATTTTTATTTCATAACCGGGCAAGTGTTCCTCACTTCTACACCATTTATTTTAAGAACTGTAGCCTTATACAATGTTAAGCTTTTAAAAAAGACTGTAAAGATGGGATTGTACCAAATACTGGCTCTATGTAGCCCTGAACTTTAGGGAAACGTCTATCCAGATTTTACAACTCAGGCCCCATCTTTCTATCAGCCCAACATAAATCTTCCCTGCTCCAGAAAAAAAAAAACACCTTGAAGAAGTTTGGCTCTGGATTTAGATCCTGTAGTTCATGGTCATCTCCATTTAAAAATATTTGATTCAGTTGCTAATTTAGCTAAAACCAACTGTAATTTATGAAAATGTATAATGAAACAGCATGTGAACACAGTTCCCTTTATTTTTAATACAGGCAGTCCCCGGGTTACATGGATCCGACTTACATCGGATCCCTACTTACAAATGGGGTGAGGCAACCCCGCACTAGCTGCTTCCCCCCAGCAGACCAGGGAGACGCGAAGCTAGCACCTCCCCCAGCAGACCAGGGAGACACCGAGCGGCTTTTCTCAGCAGACACCTCAGCTTGAGAATAAAGGACTGAGGGAAGTGAGGTGTGGGAGAATAAAACTGAGCTCTGGAGAAATGTTTGGCTAGAGTTTCCCCTACAATATGTACCAGTTCCGACTTACATACAAATTCAACTTAAGAACAAACCTACAATCCCTATCTTGTACGTAATCCGGGGACTGCCTGTACTTCTTTTAAGTACAACACTTGCTGCCTGTCTACACTGGTGGAAATTGAGACAGCAGAATCTATTTTTAAATGAGATTCTGGCTTTCATCCAATCCTACCCCAATATTCGCTGAAGCATCAGGAAATTGGGCTGCTTGCATATGATCATACAAGTGGACAGTCTTGGTGGCTTCACATGGATTAGAATATAGTGTTACTTTCTTTTGTCTCCAAAAGCTATGTGCTTTGAACTCTTCAAATCCGTTTCCCCCACCATGATACCAGTTTGCAAGAATTATATAAGAAAGCCTTTATCGGATGTACAAACACATTTAATTATGGGACACATGAGCAGATCATCAGCATAAAGGAAGGAAGGACATGACAGACCTTCACTTCACAGTTTTAGTGAGACAACATTAGGAATATTGCACTCGGAATTGAGCGTTTTAATAGCAAAATTACTTGGAGACAATTCAGAGAAGAGCAGCAAAAAATAGTTACTGGACTTCAACCCTAATGGAATGGGCACATTCCAAACACAAAGGAACAAACTGTACAAGGCAAGGAAAAGAGAACCTACAGAGTGATCAGGGTGACCGTAGGCAAGTGTTTTGCATTGAAGAGGGAGAATGTACGTATTGGGAAGGTCAGTGAGAAGGAGGTTATAGTAGTCAAAATCAGAGAGAATGAAGAGCCTAAACTAGTTTTAGCTTTGTGCAGACAGAGAAATATTATGTAGAAATAAGTGTCAAGATCTGGCCACTGTCTAGATGTGTTGAAAGGGCTGGAACTGTGTCAAAGTAAAAAAGGTTTCTACATCAAAAACTCAACAGTAACAAAAACAGGAAAGTAGAACTTCAGGCCGAATAAGCAGTCATTCACAGTTTTGGGTAGGTTACATTTAACACATTGTCAGAAACATTCAGGAGATAAGTGGAGAGTTCGAACTGGATGGAAGATGAAGCCCCATGAGTAGAACAGACTGGAGAGAGGATGAAGAAAAGGAGGTCTAGGATAGAGCCCAGGGAACACCCTCTGGGAAAGCTGGAGAGGTCAGACATTTACAAGAACAGATAAAGATCAGATTAAGGAGGTGGAAAGAGAACCAAGTGAGGATGCAATTGCTACTTCTTTGGGGAATTCTACACCACTGGGCGCGCACAGAATGCACATCCCCTTCAGATAAAGTCTGCTTGAGAGGTGCTTCAATTATGCCTCACCCCACCCACAAATGCTTTGGCTGCCACTTCCACTCCATGACTGGGGAAACAGGAGCGCAGCAAAGCATTGCTTGGAGGCTTTACCCCCAGCTGCTCTGATTGGCCATAATCACGGCCAATAGGAACAACAGAGTATGGAGTCATGTGAGTCCCTAGGGAGCTGCACCAGGTAAGTGTCCCCATCACTCAGACCCTGCATTCAGAGCCCACTCCTGCTTCCACCTCCTGCCCAGACCCCACCCCTATCCCGAGAAGAAGGATGACTTTCTTCATAACTTTTAGCCAAATTCTTAGGATAATTAATCACATCATTGGAGCAGTGGGAGTAACCGCTAGCTAGAGCATCATTTCATACTTGCTCTCTCTCCTGCCCAGTGATAATTTGGTGATAGTACAATAGCTTCAATCACTAAAGCAGATGAAGGACTTGAATCAGAGATCTCCTGCACCTACACTGGGCACAAAATTGGAAACTTCTCCTCCTCCTGCTGTTCTCCCTCCTCCCTCCCCAGCTAAAATGGCACAGGCATGTAAACACAACAGGTTTGTAGCTGAGAATCCCAAGTAGGGAAGTGCCTCCCTGCAACTGAGACTTAGGCACTGTGACAGACTCTCTAATGTAAGGAAGGTATGCTGGGCTCTGGGTGAATAGTTTTCTCTTCCCTGAGTAAACGGCTGAACCTAGTGCAGCATAATCAATTAAGAGCTTGCCAGAAGCAGCAGGCTAATCAGGACACCTATAGCCCATGAAGGCCTGCTGGAGCTTGTTTATAAGGCCTCCCTGCAGGGAGTGCAGAGTAGCCCAAGATCTGAGAGTGAGAGCTGAGGATTCCGAGTAAGGCAGAGTGCTGGGGAGGAGGAGGACAGATTTGCCCTGATACCAGAGGAAAGGTACTGGGAGGGATCATTTAGGGAAGTGACCCAGGGAAGAAGATGCCAGACTGGGAGTAGAAGAAACCCTGCTTCCTGCTCCTGCCTTAGGGTACCTGAGCCAAAACCCAGATTAGTAGGAGGGCCTGGGTTCCCCCCAACCCTCCTTATGCCACTACCCATGTGAGTAGTAAGAGGAGAGACCCGGACTATGGAGGGGATTCCCCCCCAAACTGTGGACTAGCCTATGATGAGTATGACTCAATAGGCTGCAACCCTTGCCTCTAGAAAAAGAAGAGGCTGTGTGGAGGTTCACAGCAAACCTCTGAAGCAAATACTATTTGCCAGGAAGCATAGGACCCTTGTACCACAACACATCTCAAAGAGAGGGATGGAGCTTTGAGCACATCCTATGGGTTGGCATCTTCCACTGGTTACTTTAGATGAGGAACCTCCTAGCATGCTGGCTTTTGTGAATCCCATTCTTAAGCACCCATTTCTCCCCATTCATTGTATAGGGAGCCTAGGCCCTGAATTCTGGCTTTTTGTGAAACTCAGTGTTTTTTTAGGTGACAAAGTTAGGCATGCTTAAATTTCTTTGTGAATCTGTGTTCCAAGATGATGTCATTTTTTTCCTCCTTATTACTCACTGTTATTCATAGTAAAGTACACCCTGGCTAGAGTTCTGGGATTGCAATATAGTTAGGAGTAGTGAGTTTAAAAGTAGTGTTCTTTAAAAGTAGTGCGTGCAAATAAACTCATTATTGTTCCTCTGCTTTCTGGCCTCCTGAGAAACAAAAGTGCTGACTGATGCACACGCTGACCCAAACGAGAGATGTTCAATCTCTTTGTGTCCGACAAATTAACAGAACCTACACTAGAAATGACAGAAGCTCCCTCCTCACCAACTTTGTATATCATGTTGGAAAAATCGCAATTTTTGGCGCTAACAGAAGCGAGGCAGTGTAATAACTGTATGCGCAAAAAAAAAAGATCAGTGTAAAAAAATTCAAATTTTGAAAGAAGAAACATCCACCCCAATCAAAAATAAAAGTGGAACTTACCTATCTGGGTTGTCAGAAGCACATACAGAATCAATCAGTCCAACATCCAATGTGCCCTATGTAACAAAAACCCAACCAAAAAGAGGCAAACATTGAAATATCACCAGAATACATTATTCAGTATATTACTTTTAGATATAAGCAAACTGAGAATTATTTTGGTTATACAAAACTATACAAATCTAGGTGACCATTTCTTCTCATCACCAAAATTTAGGGGAAAGGGAGTAAAGGTTTCAGATAAATAGATCTAGTAACAAGTCGGCTTTAGTTACATTCACTGAATAGTACAATGGTTCTCACACTGCAGTCTATGACCACCTCCCAGGTGGTCTGTGGCTCAAACTTAGTCCCCCTTCTTCCACTGCACAATATGGGACATGGCAGACTCTCATGGGGGCTTGTCCATGTCCCCGTGCCTCAGATGAAGCTTCCCGCTCCACCTCATTCTTTGTGCTCGAAGTCTGCAGCAGCAGCCTCTTGCCGCATCCCCCGCCACACACCTCCAGTCATCATTGTTGCTGGGAGTTGGCCTGGAGGCAAGATTCTCAAGTGAGGAGGTGCTGACCCTGCACTTCCCTCTGCACCGTGCCTGCTTGGATGAGGACCTGCCCGTCCTGTGTGTGTGCTGTAGGGTGTGTCCTTGGGCCATGCACTTCAGCAAGATGCGGCCCAGGTCAGGGAGGAGGCGTTGCCCCACAGGACCCATGCACTCACACAGAGCCACTGTGTTGTGTGCAAGAGTAGGGGGGAGGTTCTCCTTAGCTGCAGCATTAGCAATATGCTTGGGTATAATTATGTAAATAACGGTGAGTTTCCATTAGCAACTGGTGATCCGTGAAAAGGTTTACATTGAGTCAGGTGGTCCACAGGCCAAAAGTTTGAGAACCACTGGTGTGGTGTAATTCGGTGTCCTTAGAGGGAACCATGTACTTCCCATCCATGTGCTTGCTTGCAGGTGTGATGGAGGCAGGAGTCTGCCATATAGTTTTGTGCAGGCTGCAAGATGGCTGCATTAATGGGGAGTGCTATTTTGGAGGTAGCCGTGGTCTGTGAGCTCATGCTGGTTATCTGAGACTTCCTCCAAAGCAATATTGAGGTCATCCACCACTCTCTTAAAGAAGTCCTGAAAGTGGGAGAGTTCATCCGTAGATGTGGATGTGGTGGGCAGTTTGGCCTGTTGGGATGAAGGAGGTGACCCAGTGGCCATAGATGATCATCCCCTGCAATTACCATTTGTATGTGTCTGGTAGAGATTCAGCATTACAGTCCTCCTCTACTTGAAGGATTGGCAGGGGAGGACTGTGAACTTGCCTCCATGTAGCAGGACGATTAGTATGTCATGCTCTGTAGTGTTCCCAGTTACCCTACTATGGCAGGTAGCCAGGGAATGGTATGACTGGTGCCATCCAGGGAAGGGCATACCATGGGTATTGTGTGGCAGATGTATTTTGCCCTATAGGATCCCTATACTAATAGGGTGGAGAAAGGTCTTTGTTCTCCAAGTCACCTTCCTCTGTTGGAAAGGTGGGGAGGGGTTGCAGGAGACTGGCAGTTTTGTGTTTGTGGCTCTGGTGAAAAATCCCGCTCCAGAATAGGAGAACCTTGAGAGGGGAAGACCGTGAGATCAGCTGCACTGTGGAACTGGTGCTGAGCAGAGCCAAACTGCAGTGTGTGTACTGGGGCAAAGTAGGACTGTGGTGCCATGCTGAGGTGAGCTCGCGACAGCACCGTGGAAGCTGAGGAGAGTGTCAGCGCTGTGTGACAACTTCTAAGGCTCAAGTGGAGTGGCAGAATCAAAGGGAAGTGCCGATTCTGCTGTTTGAATAGGCTGCTGTGACTCTGAGTTCAGCACCAGAGTCACTGAGGGCAGCATGGGTGCATTCAGAGAGGCAGGCAGCTGAAAGCCCTTTGCCTTGGTACCTTGTAAAGCGGCTGCCGACTCAATAGTCAGTAGCGGAGGTGCCTGCAGAGTCAAAAGTGCTCAGACACAGAGTGTGGCTTAGTCAGTGCTTCTTCACTCTGCCTGGGAAAGCGCAGGAAGCAGGTCTTTTCCTGGATTGGAGGTTGTTTGCTGAGACTGTGCAGAGTTTTATCCAGGGTCTGATGCAGGGTCCTGGAGAGATGACAGCTTCAGACACAACTACCTGTCCTTCCAGGTATGTGCTTTTAATTTTTGACGGTGAGTACATTTTTGGGGGACATGGGACTCTCCCAAACACCTGACACACTGAGAGTGGCCATCAGACACAGGGATCAAGATATAAAAGGAGCAATCAAGTATGATAAAGCCATTGCGGATAAACTAAATGATTTCTTTGCTTCAGTCTTCACGGCTGAGGACGTTAGGGAGATTCCCAAATCTGCACCGTCCTTTGTGGGAGATGAATCTGAGGAACTGTCCTGGATTGAAGTGTCATTAGAGGAGGTTTTGGAACAAATAGAAAAACTTAATGTTAACAAATCTCTGGGACCGGATGGCATTCATCCAAGGTTCTAAAAGAACTCAAATGGGAAATTGCTGAACTATTATCCTATCCTTTAAATCGGCTTCTGTACCTAATGACTGGAAGGTAGCCAATGTGACACCAATATTTAAAAAGGGGTCTAGAGGTGATCCTGGCAATTACAGACTAATAAGTCTAACTTCAGTACCGGGCAAATTAGTTGAAACAATAGTAAAGAATAAAATTGTGAGGCATATAGAAGAACATAATTTGTTGGACAAAAGTCAACATGGTTCTTTAAAGGGAAATCATGTCTTACTAATCTATTAGGAGTTCTTTGAAGGGGTTAACAACCATGCAGACATGGGGTATCCAGTAGATATAGTATACTTAGATTTTCAGAAAGCCTTTGACAAGTTCCCTCTTGGGATAAGAGGGAAGGTCCTTTCTTGGATTGAGAACTGTTTAAAAGACCGGAAACAAAGGGTAGGAATAAATGGTAAATTTTCAGAATGGAGAGGGGTAACTAGTGGTGTCCCCCAAGGGTCAGTCCTGGGACCAATCCTTTTCAACTTTTTCATAAATGATCTAGAGAAACGGGCAAGTAGTGAGGTAGTAAAGTTTGCGGATGATACTAAACTGTTCAAGATAGTCAAGACAGAAGCAGACTGTGAAGAACTTCAAAAAGATCTCACCAAACAGAGTGATTGGGCAACAAAATGGCAAATGAAATGTAATGTGGATAAGTGTAAAGTAATGCACATCGGGAAAAATAACCCCAACTATACGTACAATATGATGGGGGCTAATTTGGCTAAGACAAATCAGGAAAGAGATCTTGGAGTTATTGTGGCTAGTTCTCTGAAAACTTCCACACTGTGTGCAGTGGTGGTCAAAAAGGCAAATAGGATGCTAGGAATTATTAAGAAAGGGATAGAAAATAAGACACAGAATATCTTACTGCCTCTGTATAAAACTATGGTATGCCCACATCTTGAATACTGTGTACAGATGTGGTCTCCTCACCTCAAAAAAGATATTTTGGCCTTGGAAAGGGTTCAGAAAAGGGCAATTAAAAAGATTAGGGGTTTGGAACGGGTCCCATATGAGGAGAGGTTAAAGTGACTGGGACTTTTCAGTTTAGAAAAGAGGAGACTGAGGGGGGATATGATAGAGGTATATAAAATCATGAGTGGTGTACAGAGGGCAGATAAAGAAAAGTTATTTATTAGTTCCCATAATAGAAGAACTAGAGGATACCAAATGAAATTAATGGGTAGCAGGTTTAAAACTAATAAAAGAAAGTTCTTCTTCACACAGCGTGTAGTCAACCTGTGGAACTCCTTGCCAGAGGAGGCTGTGAAGGCTAACACTATAAGGGTATGTCTACACTACAGAGTTAGTCCGAACTAATGGACGTTAGTTCGAACTAACTTTCATAGGCGCTACACTAAGCCAGAGGAGGCTGTGAAGGCTAGGGCTATAACAGAGTTTAAAGAGAAGCTAGATAATTTCATGGAGGTTAGGTCCATAAAAGGCTATTAGCCAGGGGATAGAAATGGTGTCCCTGGCCTCTGTTTGTCAGAGGCTAGAGAGGGATGGCAGGAGACAAATCGCTTGATCACTGTCTTTGGTCCACCCTCTCTGGGGCACCTGGTGCTGGCCACTGTCGGCAGACAGGATACTGGGCTAGATGGACCTTTGGTCTGACCCAGTACGGCTGTTCTTATGTTATGGTCTCTTCACAAGGACCTCTTGAAACTGGGAGAGCCTGACATGTTGAAATGGAGGGATTTTGTTGTTGTTGTTTTGGTTTTTTGAACAGGAAGAAGAAAGTATGTCATGCTGTATGTTAACTGAAACTAAGTAGCTATGTACGGGTATGTCTACACTACAGCACTAATTCGAACTAACTTAATTTGAATTAGTTAATTCGAACTAAGCTTATTCAAACTAGTGCATCTAGACCTAAAAACTAGTTTGAATTAGCATTTTGCTAATTCCAACTAGCATGTCCACATTGAGTGGACCCTGAACCGAGGTTAAGGATGGCCGGAAGCAGTGCCGGCAGGGCATCAGATGAGGACTTAGAGCATGGAGCTGCTGTCTCAGGCTAGCCGAAGGCTGTGCTTAAAGGGACCCGACCCCCACCCCGGACACACAGTTCTCAGGGGTTCCCCGCTCGCTTGTCTAACTTGATGAGGGACAGCAAAGCAGTCCTGGCTTGGAGAGCCCTGAATGCCCACACTTGGCACATCATAGCACTCAGCCATCAGCCCGGCTGCACTTGCCACAGGCGGCCATCCGGGGGGGGGGGGGGCAGTGGGGGGGCGGAGGAGGGCT